TCTTTCCCTTCTCTGGCGGCTACATAGCCTCTCCCCTTTACCTGCTTCCTTCTCTTCTTCTCACCTCCTAGCCTACCTTTATCTGCTCCCCTTTCTTCAGCTTTCTGTCCTTCCCTCCCCCAGCAATATTTCCCTGGGAAAAGTCTGGCTGGGTTGCACAACTGTGACATTGCTGGGCCAGGCCCAGTTGCATGGTGGCTGCTATTGGGGCTGGGCCTGGCTTAGCTCAGCTGGAAGGTAGTGGCTGCCATGGCCTTCCCAAGCCCAATGGCATAGTGGGTGCCATTGGGACAGGGCGGGGCCTGGCTGGGTTCAGTTATGCTGTGGTTGGGGCAAAGCCAGGCCCAGTTGTATGGTGGCTGCTGGGGCAAATGGTGAGTTTCCAATGGTTTCCACTAGGACTGTCTCCCATGAGTTCTTCTAAATCAGGGAATATGGCAGGGAAAGGGGCTAGGACCCTTTCCATGGCTTTTTAAATCTCCAAGTCCACCACTGCTCCTCCCACCACAGCTTTTCAGAAACCATTTTACAGAAATCTCAGCAAGGTGTAATACCATAGTGCCCAACTATAGTCTTAAATCTTCACAGGCCCCGGTCACACAGGCCGGATATTGTGGGAGGGGGAGGCGTGGCTAATTGCCCTGGAGGAAACTAATGTGCGGCCGCCCGAGCACACGTCCCGGTCGAGGTCCCATGGTTAGGGGGGAGATGCCGACCAGACGGGTATCCTGCAGCGTGGCACAGAAGCCATGCCGCGCAATTGCACTAGCAATCGCTCTTTGTGTGCATGCGCTGTTGGGCGTTGTTGCGCAACCTGCGGAGACTTGGGAGACAAAAAACCCCCTTGTGTGCGACGAACAGCAGCGGGCGCCAGATGCCACCTAAGTCCAGCAGAAACGCGATCAGACACCCGCCCTTGCCCCGCGGTTTCCGGAAACTAGTACCTCGGAGGTACTAGTTTTTTACTCCGCATCTTCGGCGGGAAGCCTCGGGTTAGCCACGGGAGCTCTAAGCTTCCCAGATGTTGCGGTGTGATCGTGCCTGGAAAATCTGCCTACCATCCATGTCGTCAGCACGGCCAATGCTCCATGTGACCGCAGCCACAGTTATCTTGGAATAAGGTTCACTTAACACAGTGGGATTTACTTCCCGATAAACATGCACAGCGTCAGGCTTGATGTTATGATAGATATACATTGCTTATAATTGATCAATTACTTACAATTTAAATAAATGAAATTGATAAATTCAACACTCAGGGCACTTCCACATTCTCATTTCCCGTGCTTGTAAGTTCCTGTTTCTTCAGGGTTCCCCCCCCCATTCTTCGTGTGTTTTGCTCCCTCAAACTCATTTTAATCACAAAATAGCCATTCAGAAATCTCTTCCTTACACAAATAAGGTTAACAAATGGACAGGGGGAAAAATCCTGTCCCTTTAATAGAGATTTATTGTGTTAAAATGGGCAGTTAGAGTTTTCTGTGGAATGATGTTAAATAGCATCACCTGATAATTGCTTACAGATCAAACTAATACTAAAGGGAGAGCGAGAGGGGCTTTAAAAGTTGACAAACTTATACACAAATCTTGAAGAATATACTTACTTTAACAAATAGATATAGGAGGGCTACATGATATTCGACCACTTGCTTTTATTGTGCTATGCCAGTTTCATAAAATAAAAGCTTCCTTAGTTTCCTGAATTATTGGTAATGTCAGTATGTGTATTTTGTAAATGTGTGTACCATGTTCGGTAAGAACTATTTTGAGGTTTTTCTGAATGCCTTGGGTAATAGCTTATGTATTACTTTCTACCTAGAAGTAACCAATTCTTGACTTGTTTCTATTTTGTCAGTTGTGGAGCCAGAGTGTGAAAAAAGCTCAGCTACCACCTATTACTGGTACCGAGAAGCACTCAATATTTCTAACTCTATCTCAGAGAGTGGAGGTTTGAACTGGAAAATGACTATCTGCTTATTGGCTGCCTGGGTGATGGTGTGCCTAGCAATGATCAAAGGAATCCAGTCTTCAGGAAAGGTGAGTCTGTGTAGCCCTTCTTCACATTTGCCATCTGAATTCTTACTTACCACACCCCTCTACCCAGCTTCTCATAAAGTTTGTATGGGCAGGCTGGAAGCTATGACTCATTGTGCTTTTTTGTAATCCCAAGTGGGGAAATGTTGGTATCTAAGTATTAAAATTGTAGTCTATTAAATCCAGAAGTTGTCCTTGGATAAAAAGAGCGAGGGAGTGTTGCGGTATGAGAACTCTTTTTTGTTTTCATTTGCTGTAGATTCTGCTGATAATTATATCTCATTTTCAGTGTAATGCTTATACATGCATGTAATTAAAACGAAACAGAAGAATGGATTTGCCAGGTAGCTCTCTCCAAATTGTTTTTCTTTTCTGGATCTGGATCAGACCCAAAAAACAATCAAATACCCCGGCCAGGTATCAAAGATGGCTTTTCAGTATATCTGTGCCACAGGAGACCCCCAACAGAAATGAAGAGCCGACATTCCATGTTGTAATTCATGTGGGGTATGCAGGTGAGAAGATACACATAAAAAGGGATCAGGCCAGATTAAGCTGGCAAGAAGTTGTGCAAAGGTATTAGCCAAGGAGCGCTGCAATGTATAAGTGACAAGGCAGGTGACATGGCTAGACTTGAAGAAGATAGAAGCAACAGATATCAGGGTTTGCAAAGAGAACAGGGACTTAGAACAGGACACAACACAAGAAAATCAATATGAGATGAAATGCCACAAGCATATGTATGGAATAATGGCTGATTAACTAAGTACTCTCAGCTACTTTCAGGCATTTGCACTACAATTCTAAGAGTGTTTTTTCTGGGAGTAAGCCACCCTGAGCAGACTTTAGTAAGATTCTGAGTGGACCTGTTTAAGATGGCACTGTTATCAAGCTAAGAATGATCAACCTGATCTGGGGACAGTTCCACACATATGCTTAAATGGCAGTTGAGTGATGGATAATAGGATTGTTTATTAACAATAATTTCACTCTCACTTTCTGGGTTTTTTTAAGTGATTCATTTTCATTCAAGTCATAACTGATTTAGTTAGTCAATTTGTTTTTCATATCCACTAGTTTCAATGGGAAACACATTTCTGACTATAACTTTTTCCAAGATGGAAGGAGACCTTGGGGTTGTAGTGTGTAGCTCAATGAAAATATCCACCCAGTGTGCTGCAAGGAGTGAAAAAGGAAACTCCATGCTGAGGATTATTAGGAGAGAGACTGACAATAAAACAGGCAACATTATAGTGCCCTTGTATAGATCTATGGTGCAGCCTTACTTGGAATGCTGTGTGCATCTGAAAAAGAACATTGCAAAGCTGGAGAAAGTACAGAAGAAGGCAATCAAGATGACTGATGTATTCGAGCATGTCTCCTATGAGGGAAAGCTGAAGAGTCCAGGACATTTCAGTTTAGAAAAAACAACTAACAGGAGTCATAACAGAAGCTTATAAAATTATGCATGGGATTGAAAGAGTTGACAGAGAACTTATTCTCCCTCTCCCAAACTGTGGAACTTGAGGGCATATAATTAAATTAATGGGTAGTAGATTCAAGGCCAACAAAAGGAAATACTTCTTTACTCAATGGGTGATTTAAAAAGGTGGAATTCCCTGCCAGAGGATGTAGCGATGGCCACAAGCATAGACAACTTTAAAGGGAGATTACATAGATTCATGGAGGGTAGGTCTATCATTAATTTCTAGCTAGGGTTGTCAGCCTCCAAGTCTAGGCGGGGGTTCCCCTGCTTCTGGGGGTTCCAATCTGCCTCCAGCCAGCTGGCCAGTGGAGGAAGCCCCTCCCCAAGCCCCACCCCCAAGAGCGGTCACCTACGGCCACCCCTCTTCCTCCCCTCCTGCAGAGATTTAAAGGACTTCTGCTGGTCAACAGGGAGCACATGGCCCGTTGATCAGCTGGAGGGCCCTTTAAATCTTTCAGCAGGGAGGGAGAGGGGCTGTCACTGGCCACAGCTCCACATTTATTTATTTATTTATTTAATTCAATTTATATCCTGCCCTCCCTGCCAGTCAGGCTCAGGGCAGCTTACATTAAAAAGTTAAAATACATTTAAATACAGATAACAGACATCATAAAAATAAAAACATAACAAGTAAAGTGCTGGTGGCAGCATAACATTGTATAGTGATCCCAGTAGGTCATGGTGGAATGGTGACAAAGGAGTATATCCCTTGAAAGGATATTTTTGTGAGTGGGGTGGGGGCTGTGGTACACGGGGCTGATTCAGGCCCATGCACCATGGCCCCACTCACTGTAACAGCCCCCTCCTTCCCTGCTGAAAGATTTAAAGGACCCTCCAGCTGATTGGCGGATCACATGCTCCCCATCGATCAGCTGAAGCCCTTTAAATCTCTGCAGGAGGGGAGGGAGAGAGCTGGTTGTAGATGGGAGTGGGGCTTGGGGACAGAGCTTGGGGCATCCCTGCCCACCCCTGGAACACCCACCAAATCCCCCCACCGGAGCAACAAGGAAACCTGGTAACCCTGCTTCTAGCTGTGGTGACTAAAGGGAACCTCCAGTTTCAGAGGCAGTAAACCACTGAATACCAGTGCTGGGAGGCAACATCCGGGGGAAGCCTCAGCCTCTGTGTCTTGTTGTTGGCACTCCAGAGTAACTGGATGGTGACTGTGTGATACAGGATGCTGGACCACGTTGACCACTGGTCTGATCTAGCACAGCTGTTCTCAAATTCCCATATTCTTATGCTTAGAATCAGGTTCATGTAGTCCAACCCCCTGCACAATGCAGGAAATTCACAAATACCTCTACCTCTACACCCGCAGTAACCACTGTTCCACTCCACACCCAGAAGATGATAAAAAACCCTCCAGGATTGCTTTCTGACCCCAAAGTGGCAATTAGCATTTCCCTGGGTGTGTAAAAAAGGGCCACAAGAACTAAGCACTAAGACAACACTTCCTGCCCTCCTTCTCATGAACTGCCTAAGTTCACAGAATCTGCATTGCTGTCAGATGGCTATCTAGCCTCTGTTTGAAAACCTCCAAAGAAAGAGAGCCCACCACTTCCCAACGAAGCCTGTTCTACTGAGGAAGTCAGGAAGTTCTTCCTAATGTTTACCCGAAAACTCTTCTTATTTAATTTCAACCTGTTGGTTCTGGTCCGACCTTCTAGGGCAACAGAAAACAACTCCACACCATCCTCAATATGACAGCCCTTCAAGTACTTGAAGATGGTTATCATATCACCTCTAAGGCTGTGGTCACACATACTAAATAATCCACTTTCAATCCACTTCCAGTCCACTTTCCAACTGGATTTTTACTGTGTGAAATGGCAAAATCCAGTTAGAAAGTAGATTGAAAGTGGATTATTGAGTGTGCGTGACTGCAGCCTCAATCGTCTCGTCTCCAGGCTAAATATGCCCAGCTCCTTCAAACTGTCCCCATAGGACTTAGTCTCCAGTCCCCTCACCATCTTCACTGCTCTCCTCTGGACACATTCCAGCTTGTCTATATCCTTCTTAAATTGTGGTGCCCCAAACTGAACATAATACTCTAGGTGAGGTCTAACCAGAGCAGAGTAAAGTGGTACCATCACATCTTGTGATCTGGACACTATACTTCTGTTGATACACCCCAAAATCGCATTAGCCTTTTTAGCAACCACATCACACTGCTGACTCATGTTCAGTGTATGGTCCACTAAGACCCTTAGATCCTTTTCGCACATACTACTGCCAAGACATGTCTCCCCCAACCTATAATTATGCATTTGATTTTTCCTACCTAAATGCAAAACTTCACATTTATCCCCACTGAAATTCATTACATTTCTTTGAGCCCAGTTTTCCATCCTGTCAAGAACATGCTGTATCCTGACACTGTCGTCTTTCATATTTGCTACCCCTCCCAATTTAGTACCATCTGAAAATTTAATAAGCATTCCCTCTATCCTTTCATCCAAATCATTGATAAAGATGTTGAGCAAAACAGGTCCCAGGACAGATCCTTGAGGCACTCCACTTGTTATTGCTCTCCAAGAAGATGAGGAACTGTTCATAAGCACTATTTGGGTGCGATCTGTCAACCAGTTACAGATCCACCTAACAGTCATAGGATCCAAACCACATCAACAAGAATATTATGTGGAACCTTATCAAAAGCCTTACTGAAATCAAGATAAACAGAGATGAACACCGCAATGCTAGAGTCGAATTCGACTGGCTTTCAAGCAAGGGAAACCTTTACCTTTACCTTAAATTGTTTATTTATTATTATTATGCTGGTATATGTTGTGCACTGCCCTGAGCCCTCCAGGGGAGGGTGATTTATAAATCCAATCAATAATCAGCCAGTCGTATAAAACATGGTATTCCTTTTCTTGAAAGCAACACAGCTGTTTTCTTGGTGACACACTTTATTTCAGTGGTGTTCAGAATAAACTGGAAAAATATTTTTTTCTAAACATTAGATTTCCTCACAAAATAGAAGAAATGGATTCGCAAATCATAATTGTTGTAGCTGTCCTTATTTAAGATGGCACAATTCATTGATTTGGTATCTGGGTTTTATAAGCATGAGATATGAATGGTGAGAAATGGTGAGAAATGAAGTAAAATCCCCTTCGTGTTTTTCAGATCATGTATTTTAGCTCCCTTTTCCCTTATGTGGTACTTATATGCTTTCTAATCAGAGGGCTGCTCTTAAATGGTTCACTGGATGGCATTCGTCACATGTTTACCCCCAAGGTATGTACTTGGTTTCTACCAATGATTTGCCTGTATTAGACATTGTTTTATGACTGAATGATTTCTGGTGTCACTTCAGGACCAGATTATATTTAACTAGTTGAGATTAGTTGATTGACTTAGAGTGTAACTGCTGTGAGAAAATGTTTCAGCCCAAATAAAGTTCCATCCTATTTATACTGTTATAACTAAGCCTTCCCCCACAGAGACTAGGGTCTTTTCCCATACAATGGGTACTTCCCACTGACATGGGATCTCAGCAAGGGGGAGAAACCCGCCTGTGTGAAGGAGCCTGCTATAGATAAGCATCCACGCTTCATCCATAAATGTACGCATTTACTACTCTCAAGCCAAGATCACCACAAGGGCAATAGGATATTTTACTATAGGATAACTAATCTGCGTTAAGTGCTCGTGAATATGTTTCTGTAGACAGCTGCACATGCCAAATAAAATAATATATGTTAAGTGATACTTCTTTTTGTAGTAGAGTTGATCATGTTACCTAGATGGTACATAGCAACAGTGACAAATAATGCAGCCACAAAACATAAATGTTTCATGAGTGGCCAAACAACAAGAAACAAAGTTTCTCAATGCTCTGCTGTCTTCCAGTATTCCCTTCCACTGCTTCTTCCCTTTCCCGGCAGCCATCCCATAACCAAAGTAGTTCCACTTTCCCAAAGAGTCTCATGCTGCCCTGGCCACTGCGGTCCTTTTTCCAGTTTGGTCTCCTCCCTAAGACCCTCCTCTCATGATGCTAGCTACATCAGTAGACCTTTTGAAGGAAGGTTGGACAAGGATGTCATACGATGCCATTTTTAAAATGTGGTTCTACATCAAATAATCATGCCATATTGATTTTGACTGTATCTATCTGTCAATCTGTAGGTCAAGTGTCTATCGTTCTCCTCTACTCTATGCCTTCTAGATATTTTTACTTTTAAGTCACTTTCATTCAGCTACTCAAGATAGGCAACTGATATGCAACCACATATGCAAACACAAGATACGCAATCACATTCAGTTCCATGCACGCACACACACATATGCTTACACACACATACATATACGATGTCACCCTTCTATAATGAAGAAAGTGAGTTTGTGCAAATACTTTGGGTAGAATAACAGTCCGTGAGAAAAAGATGGCAAGATACCTGTAGAAAGTAATAAAACCTTACCCTATACTGGACTATTAGCAAAGCTGCTTGCATCTTCCAATGGGCTGTCTTTAGTCACTGTGTCCTAATTTTAATTGAAGATAATCACCAGTCCTCCCTCAAGATCACATGTACAAGATAGATATAAATTCCTCTTAAAAGACACTCCCTTCCCTGAAGCCAAGTATGTAGTAGAATAATGAAAATATTACTCATTTTTAATGATGAAAAACTAAGCTAGGCAGATGATTAAGAGATTTAGTAAAAGTCACACGGGAAGTCAAATGCAGCAGCTGAACTGGACTGAGTTAATCCTAATCCTTTGGTATGTGGGAAATCATGGCCAAATTTCAGAATATTTTCAAGATTCTCTATACATTTGGGGCTGTGCCTTAGTTGATCTTAGGGAAGCATTTTGTGTACCCTTCTTGACAAAGAATAGTGCATTAGAAAACAGCTGATATCAAAATCCCATGGGTAAAATGTTTCCACCACAAAAACCTGTATCTTTTGGCATAAATTCACCAGCCATAACTCCACACACCTGTTCCCCATGCTCCATAATGCATTTATTTCATAATCCTAGAGGTACTAACAGTACTCTTAGAGATCTATTCCTGAGACTAGGTCTTTCTCTGCTACTGTACATGGCTTCTAGTTGAGGTCTGTTCCTCCTTGCTTTATATTATTCCCAGAAGACCATTAGAGTAATTTCACTTCTCTTCAAGTTATCTCAGAGTAATGTGTAAAGAAGCCCTATATTTTAACTTCAGTGGGTCTTTTAGTTTTGGGACCTAGAGATAATTCCATATATGAAGCCAAGTCCTAAAATGAATGTAAACGCCTGATGTAGTGTAATTTTTTTTGATCTTTTTAATTATGAGGCTTTCATAATATTATGTATTCTAATCTAAAAATATCCCAGCTGATTGAATGAAGGGGTGAGAACAGTGGTAGCCTTGTATCTCGTTCAGCTCTCTCCTTCTGTTGTAACCAGTGAGACTTGCATAACCTTGACTAGACTGGGTTCCAAAGCCACTGTATTTTAGAGGTGAGGTTCATATAGTGTAGCAAATGTATGCAACTGTATGCAACTGAAAAACTGCTTCAATGCAATGGGCACATAAAAAAAACATTCAGTCCAAACAACTTGTAGAAATTCAGAAAGAATTAAGAGTGTACAGTTAGTGCCATCTAGTGAGAATACACTGGTATGACTACATATATGAAGATTTATATGTGGGGCACTGTGGACAAGGTCTCTCTATATTTCCATCTGAATATTTTTTCTTTGTAATACTATGCATAGTTATAGAATAATCTTTTTCGCTGTGTAGATATCTAGGAGATTATTAAGTATAGTAAAACCAAAACTTTTTCTGTAAGAGGGGAAAAGTGATAATGGAAATAACACAATGATTAGCAGTTTGGTTTGTCTGTTACCAAAATTATTAGTACTACTGACACCAAAGATATATTTAAAATTCCATCAGTGAGATCAATATGCACTAAAATTCCACATCTGTTCAAAATGAGTAGTCTCAGTTTCTTCCAGTGGAGACTACTATACAACTAGAGAAGGAAAGAAACAGAAGAACAATTTGGCATTTCAACCCCCACCTCCCCAGATATTTAATACCAACTTCCAGTTTTACCTGTTTAGGGGAAGAAATGTTCCAAATGGCTAAGCATATTTATTTTCAAAGGAACTGTACTGTAACTCTAATCTGAAGTTGTGCTCCTGTTTCTCAGCGGGTGTTTTTACACTAGAAGTGCAGTATGAGCAGAGTTAAATGCTTCAAAATCCATTGTAGTCCATGAGTTTAGAAGGGTGCAACTTTGGATTGCACTGCAGATGTGTAATGTATACCACTTGATTTTGGTGTTCCTGTCCATCCTGCTTAATCACACGCATTAGTTGCTAGTCTACCAAATAATTGTTGCCGCTTCATAAACATAAATGTGCTTGAAAGCCATGCAGACAAAAAAAACACCCATTGATAATACTGATCACTCTTAAGAAACAGCAAAAACAATTGATCTGTCATGTCTTGACCAACTCATAATTCAGATTTTTTAAAAAAAAGGCTTCCTAGATTATCCAGTGGTATATATGTTACATTCATTTTTGGTCTGGATTCTGGTGCGACATTTGGGTTCAGGATTGAGGATGATGTGGGTTATCTTTCTGGATTATTTGTTGCCTCTCCGTATGGGAGAAAATGCTGCATTTTGTAGCTGACATCTATTGTGTCTCATTTCAAACAGCTTGAAATAATGCTGGAGCCCAAGGTCTGGAGAGAAGCTGCTGCTCAGGTGTTCTTTGCCTTAGGGCTTGGATTTGGTGGAGTCATTGCCTTTTCAAGCTATAACAAGAGAGACAACAACTGCCATTTCGATGCTGTTCTGGTGTCCTTCATCAATTTTTTCACTTCTGTGCTGGCAACTTTGGTGGTGTTTGCTGTTCTGGGCTTCAAAGCAAATATCATAAATGAGAAATGCATTATCCAGTATGAATATTCATTTCTTTATCCATTTTTATAGTCTGTTTCATGTTAGGAATGTACAGAGGGAGCCTTGGGATTGATTGTGTGTATCTGTATTTCTTTGTGTTTTCCAGGAATTCTGAAAAGATTGTCAAACTTCTGGAAGTCGGCAATGTTAGCTGGGCTGTGATACCTCCTCATATTAATTTTGTTAACATCACAGCAGAAGATTATAATTTGGCTTATGATATGATAAAGAAAGTCAAAGAAGGAGAGTTTTCTGCTCTTGGTCTGAAACCCTGCTTAATTGAAGAGGAGCTTGACAAGGTTAGAGTGATTCTTCAGCCTTTGAAGAAAGAAGTACAAACAAATGACAGTTCAGAGCCAATATGGAACCATGCTTGTTTTAATTGTGCCTAATTTATGAAACAAGGAATGGGCCTGCATGTGATCACTGAAACCTGGCTAGCCTCAACAATTCCTGTTTTTCCCCTCCATACCCCGCCCCTTTTACTTAAATGCCTCGCAGAATTGTCCTGCCACCTGCCAGAATTGTCAGACAACCAACCACATACCTAGAGTGTTTAGAAATAAAGTTCCAAACCTCACCAATGCTCCTGCAAGAGTCCTCATGCACACCCCCGTTTCCACTCACCCAATGAACACATGGGCGATCTGTATTAAATGAGCTTTACTAAACAGAGGAAACAAGTAACAAGCCAAAATAGCTGTGAATACTGACACAAGCATCTAGTGTTCCACATTACCTGGGTATTATTCCTAACTAGCAGTAAAGCCTGTTGTGAAAACAATACAACGAGATCTAGAAAGAGGCTCTGGGGGAGTGCTCTGGCTTTGGGCAAACAGTGTCAATTTGCTGTGGTGACCTCAGCAGGGTATAATGACAGAGTCCACTGTTTTCTCCAGAGGAACTGTTCTCTGCTACCTGAAGAGCAGTTGTAATTGTGAGTGATCTGTAGCCCTCACCTGGAGATTGGCAGCAAATGTTACCCAGGACAAAATGGCTGGTTTGGAGGGTGGAGTTGGCAACCCCATCTCCTTCCCAGCTAACCATCAACCTACCATTATCTGCCCCTTTGACTTCTGCCCTCCCTTCTGCAGAGCAGTTGTAATTCTGAGTGCTCTCCAGCCTATAGGCTCCAATCGGGACCTGTTCTGGGCGGTGG